CCCTGAATGCAAGAGAACGCATCAACTGTCCACGCGTGCGATTGTTCACATTGCCCCCTAGTTTGGGAATAGAAGTTCTGAGCATGAGGAACAGTAGTTTCTGAATACGACGAAAATAGTTTCTGAATACGACGAAAATAGTTTCTGAATACGACGAATAGTTTCTGAATACGACGAAATAGTTTCTGAATACGACGAAAAGAGTATCTGAATACGACGAAATAGTATCTGAATACAAGAGTTTCTGATTACAACGAAATAGTTTCTGAAGACCAGTTTCTGAATACAGTGCAGCTTCTGAATCCGACTTTGTTCGCGAGAGGCTGGTGAAATGACGATGTACAGCATCCGTGAATCGTCAGCACAAGCCGACGATTTTCCTTGAGAAGGGGCATGGCTGGAGTCAAAAAAATGATTGGCTTCAAAAAGGTCTACAACTACTGATCGGCGGGTCCTTTATTCTGGAGGGTGCGAGGATGGCGAGTCCCTTTCGGATCTGGCTCTACCCTGCAAAAAGCTACAACTGACAGTTGTTTTTCTTTGCTAGCGTAAACTGAGCTGGCAACGGCGGCGCCAAAAGAGCGACGCAATTTTTTTGCACGAAAAGATGTTACACAGAGACATATACTTTCCACACCCCGGACGGCATCATAACTTGCAAACAAATGCTGCAACGTATGGGTTGCTGAGCGTCCACAAGTACACCGCTTTCCAAGAACAACTAGACCTAGCAGATCTTCTGCGCGCGAACCAAACTCAGCAACAATGTCGCAAACAAAAACGTGAGTTCGCAGGATGCGCTTGCTCCAGGACAGGTGCAATCTCCTACCAAAACAACTACCAGAAGATGGTTCTGCTTCAGTTGAATTGCAATTTATTCAGCTTCTCAACCTGGGGTTCGTAATGATCCCATCTTCAACCTCCAACCTACATGGCCACCTCCAACCTACATTGCCTTTTTCGATATGGCAGTCAAATACTTGCGCGCAGTGAAGGTTGATTCGACCCGAGGCTGCCGCAAACAGTTGTCCAAAGGCGTGCGTCCCTTCGCGTGACGCTCGCCCTGGATAGGTGACAACTTTTGCCTCGCGGGCGGCTCTGGCGATGATTCTTGCCACTGTAACCATTAACCTGGGTTCGTAGAAAGGGCACGCGCTCTGCAGCTGTCTGTTCATCCAACCCTTCATGTTTTTGAGCCAGCTCCACTCTGGCTAGCCATCTCACCACCACCATGCAGAGCACCACCATGCACTTGACCATCTGGTTAGACTCCTTAGCATCTTTCTCTGGTCTGAACTCATCAAAGCCTTGGCCCGGCTGTGCCATATTCACCGCTTCTTTTCCCCACCGCCGTTGTCCGACAAGCGCAAAGTGTCCATGATCTATTTCTGTTTCAAGAAGTTTTTGGCCATGTCAAAGCCCTTCTCTGCCTATCCACCAAGCTTAGCGGCTTAGCGCGCACCGGTGCTCTGTGCCCGCCAACTTCATCGCCCCTTGGCAACCGCAAACTTTCTTGCCTCATTGGCGCCTGTCGAATTGTTCTGCACCTGCTCGAGCTGTTCTGCGCAGGAGGTCGTAGCAGTCGTAGCATGTATCAGTTTGGCTGCGCTCCTGTTCCTCCTTTCTCTACCCCTGGCATCCCCTGTGCGTCCTCTGATCGCATGGCCCGCTGCAAGCTCCTGACTGGGCGCTTTGCAAACTTATATATAGCATATATAGCTAATCTGGTCGCGGCCACGGTCTATAACCAAGAAATGGCCATATTGATGAAGACGCGGCGGCTCGCGGACTTGCCGGGTCTACGCCAGCTTTCTGCGTTGTTGCGCAGCAAGGTCCTGCAATGTCCTCCGTTTGAAGAGGCTTCTTCCGCTCGTCCTCTTTCCTTCCGCCGGCGGCATCCTTTTCCGCGACAGTCGTGTGTCATGTCCATGCCTTCCGCCTCGGGCCAACTTCCTCCCTTCGCTCCCTCGGGCAAAGGGATCAGAACTACTTGCTTCCAGCGCGGCCGGCTGGCGACAAATGCGAAGACATCGTCGTCAACTGCAGGCATTATTATGTTCATTGGCAATCTTCATTCTGCAGCAGCTCGGGTCAAGTGCCTGGATGCCTGGAAGTTCTGCGACGCGTCTTGAGCTTGCGGCCTGCCTGACGAGGTGCCAGCAACCAAGACACTGCCTGTTGAGGTTCCTGAAGTGCCCACCAAGCGCAGCCAAAATTAGGACAACCGTCGTATCTTCATATCTCACTCATTCTCACTCTGCTTCAATGATCCATATTCTTGCAGCAACAGCCCTTGTACCTTCATCCCTCTGCGCTCCTCTTTCGCCGGGTGTGAACGCACTCGTGGCCCCACGCCCCACCTCCCCACCTCTGTCTACCTTCTTGTTGATTCTTGTTGACAGTGACAGCAGGCTGTCCTATTGACAGATTCAGCCTCTTTAGGCGGATGAAATCACTGAATCACTTTTGACTCATGACAGCTGAGACACTTCCAGCTCCGTGTCAACTGTGTTGGCGCCTATGGCTGGTCTCCGGCCTGCACCGCAGTGGGGACGTCCTGTAGGCTTCAAAGCAAAGCTTTCTGGACGGACTCCACCACTCAACTGGGGCAGCCTCCTCTATCGACTGCGTCCGCAGCACCATCCGAAGCAAGCGCGCCTGGGAAAGTTCCCACGCACTGCATTCAAGCCTGCAAGGCCGACAACTGCATGCAGCCAGCGCAGCCAGCTGAGTAGCGTCAGGCAAGGCGCTTGTCGCTATAGCTCTTGGGTAGCAAGCAGCCACCAACTCCATCGGGCACGGCAAAAATGGTAGGCCGCCCTGCCCCCATAAGGGTTGCGATGCCACAGAAGTACACCAAAATCAGGAGCACCTCAAACTCATCCATGCTGCGCTGCCTTTGCTCGAAGTCCCTTGAGCCCAAATGGCCGGCGTGGCTACAATTCAGGGATTCAAACCACCATATCCCTACAATCTTGGTTTAAGGCAACGCGTTGCTTCATGAAAACCAGCAAGATCAAAGTTCTGTCTAAAGTGCACACGGTCTTTCAGATCACACACTTACCCAGCAAGACATGTCTGGCAAACTTCCGTCGCCAGCTTCAAGATCATCATCCACAAATCTCTGTTGATGGCCTTTCCCTTCATGTGCCTGCCGCATTGGATGAGAAGGCATTGTCCGCTCTGTGTCCGTATATTATGCTTTTGAATTAACCAGCACAAAACTGGCTCCAAAACGAGGAAATCGATGAATTCACCGTACTTTGTTTGCAAACACACGAGGACAAAGGCCGCCAAATTTGAAGTGTCTGAGCATTGCCGGCACGCCGTCCAATTCTTTTTTATCTGTTTGTCTGACTGTCTTTCGTTTGTTTGTTGATTTGTCCTTTCTTTATTTCTATGTGTAATATGTATTTGTTTTTCTTCTCTCTCTCTCTCCCTCTCTCTCCTTCTCTCTCTCTCTCTCCTTCTCTCTCCTTCTCTCTCTCCTTCTCTCTCTC